TTTCCAAACATGCAAACTTACACAAATTGCCTAAGTTCAGTAGGGGTGTGGGGGAGGAAAGAGAGTCAGACCAAGCCCTTTCCTTATCATTTCCTATGGGCACATTAAAGGTGGTTCCCACTGTGATTTGTGTGACTTGCATTGCCTTTTGGAATTGTCTCCCCTAACTGTAAGCAGAACCTACATGCTTAGTTCTGGATCATGCTCTTAGGCCACATAGTTGGTTTGTAATGTCTAAATGAGACACCAAAATTAAGGTACGCAAATCTGTCCCTGTGGGCATTAGCTTGCAAGCTGAGCCGGGTTCCTTACAAACTTCTTATCTGAGTTTGCTTCTGGCCTCAGGTTTTGTGATCCATGGTGACATTTTAGACTGGAAATCAATTCTGTGTACTTTTTTGTAGATTTTATTCAGGAGGATTAATATATAAATTCATATACAATATAGGAGGCATGTAACTAAACTAATATGTTATAGCTTCCAGTAAACTAAAGCATTAGAATACCGTGATTAATTAGGATAACAATTAAGATCAAATGAACAAATCAGCAGGTTCAAATAGTCAGCTTTTGACATCGACATGGCAGGTAAACTGAATTATGAGACTGACATTAGAAGGAATTACTTTTGTCTGTCTTGTTGTGAAAGATTCTAAGGAGGCAGGTCCCTTTTGGTCTAAGACCCAAACTTAGATTCTTACACTGGTCTAACTCACAAGGGGGTGTATTTCCATGGCCTACGTGTGCCTTCTTCCTAAGCATCCATTCTGGTTTTAGATCTTTGCGAGGGAAATCATTGGGTGCTGCCTCTTCCCTTGCTCTCGCTGAGGAAGCACAGCTTCCTATCCCAGCAATTCCACCAGCCGCGTCTCAGTGCCTGCCCTTCTTCCACCCACGCTGCCTTTCTCAGGAACAGAGTCTGCCTAACAGTTACTCGGCAGACACTGGTTAAAGCATCTATAAGGATAGCTTTGAAATAGCACTACTTTTTAATACAAGAAAATCTGTCTCTCAGTCACAGAGTATTAGCTTTTCTTTAAGGATACTGTACAAACACGGCACGCTGTGTGCACGCAGGCATATGCGCTCTTATTCATTAAGGCATTAGTGAAAAATAACCAATTGCATCTCTTTAAAAGCAAAGAGTGAAAAAATAAAAGTGTGCCTCTGCTTCATTCTTCAGTATTTTTAACTAATGCAGTTGTTGCTTTTTTATATGAAATCAAGGGGTTCTGATTGGTCATAGTTTATAACTCAACTGATCTTGTTACATACGAAGCGAGCTGGCCTTTCCACCAACTCAATGTCAACTCTTTTTCTTCTAGAAGTTCTGTGTTTTGATGGTAAAAGATAAAGAACTTTTTGCTTTCTTAGGGACCAATTTCCACTTGTGTGAGATGGGAATAGTTTTGGTGAAAGTTACTGAAAGTATTGAAAAACTTTAGACTGAGGTAGAAAGTCCTGTCACCAAATATCTTTTGCTTTTGCAGAATTGATGGGATTAATTGCACAGGTCATATGTGCTTTCAAAGAAGCAATATGTGAAGTTCTCTGTCAGGAAAGCATATTTAACTTTCTAGCATATCTTTAACTTTCTTGTAATGGACACGATACGCACAACTAGAACAATTAGTCCTATTCATCTGTTATAAGTAGTTAAGGCACTATGTCCTGTCATGAATCCTTTGCATTCCAGTAACTTCAGTTATTTCTTAAAATATTCCTACTGTTATAGCAAAAAATATTGGGAACTCCTAACTAACTTTAAAACTAATTCTGATGATTTTGACCTAAAAATACAAGTTCTTTCCTAATTCATCAAAAAAAATTTCTTATAACAATTAAATAACAAAAATTTTCTTGAACTGAGACATAAGACCATGTTAATTATTGAATCACTGCTGTGACAGCAGCAAATCATAGGAAGAATGTGATCTCATCACATTCATGCATGGTACAACAATACAACTTTTTAGCTCGTATAATGAATGTTTTATTTAATGTACAGCACACCACCTACACTTTCTGAATAATGAATAGCTCTGTGCATAACCAAAAGTATATTATCTTCCTAGAAGAAAGAAATAAAAATATTATTTTAATTTATCACATGGCATACATAAAACAATGGTTTAACTTCAATCAGTTCAGTAGACCTAAATCAGGAATTTATTTAGCCATTAACCTTTTTCAATTTAATCTCCTTAACCCTAAACTATTTGGCTCTTTGACAATGTGTGTAATACTGTGGGGTTTTTGTTGTTTGCTTTTTTAAGGAACCTGGAAGAAAATCCTAATACTTCATTTGCCAATCCTTTGTACAAAGACCTTAGTCCATCTGGGAGCTTAAAGGTAAGCGGCAGTAGCTGCTTCTGTGCATTCCAAAAATGTGAGGCTGCAGTCTTCAAATAGGTTTTCCATTGAAACAAATAGTGTAGTCCCTCAGAGAATGTTATTTAATAAAGGAAATAAGACTTTAAAAGTACTACATTTCCTCTAACACTCCATATAAAAGATCGGTTCCAGAGTCTTCTCAATAGATAAGCAGATCTGAACTTTTAAGAGCTATAGGTAATACTGACTGGGAGGCTGAGCCTGAGATAAAACAATTTTAGGTGAAGTATTTAGTCAGACATTTAGAGGAAAAAGCCCACTGGGGTTTCTTTTGGTTCTCAAAAAATAAAAATCCCACAAAATGCATGATTCAGCACCCAGGTCACCTGTGCACACTCACTTAACTTTAATTAAATAGTTTGTGATATTTTTTTCCTGATACCTTAAATATGCATTGCAATTTTCATCACTGCAAAATTCATCTTGACGCCAAGCAGGTCTGCACAGTAGCTGCTCCTTGGTCACACTTTTCCGTTATGCCTTTTGTTGAACGTAATTAAGAGACTGCTAGAAAAATAAAGTTTGAAAATAAAGTATATATCTGAAAGTGAATATATTGCAGTAAAAGATTCAATGCAAGATTTAATTATCAAGTTACAATGGTAGCTAAAATTTATGATTTTCATTTAAGAAGAGAAATGTGATTGACTTAAAATGCAGCTATATCTGCTATTTTATTTATCAGTCATTGAAAATAATATAGATGTAGCACCTTGTTTAAAGAATCCTTCCTGCCCTCATTGTGACACTACTGTTATTAGTATTGAAAGAATTAGGCTAGGTTTGAAACAGAAAATAAAATTTCCTTATCTTTTCCCTAGTAAGTAGTATGAGATTCCACTGCAGTATTGAACAGGATTAAATATGACATGCCATTTACTTTCTATAAAAGGTTCCTTACACTTGATTTTAGAAAAATTAGATCAAATTAATTCACTTACAGGTTTGGGTTTGAGAGAGAGTTCCAAGTTGGAAACATTCCCATCACAATCAAGTTCAATTTACCAGGACATTTGTATTTTAGTTAGAATAGATTCCTGACAGGCTTCATTTAATAACAAGTGGAAAAACAGAAACACAATGTCAGAGGAGATATTTTCATAGAAGAGAGCCCCAGGCACTGTAATTGAAGTCCAGTGCTATACCAGATTTTCGTCTATTTTCTTTAGGATTGGGAAGATATGTGTTTTCGTTAGTCCTTCCTATAGAAGGACAAACAGGAGTTATGAGTTTTCCATGAGTTTGATGAGGCTTACATCTGAATGGTGTATCAGCAGTCAAAAGATATGGTAAAACATGAGGAATATCTCTAATCGCCAGCTGATACCCTGAAGTTAGCCATTTGCAGGCATCTAAGTTTCATAAAGAAAAACAATTCTCACTAGACCTTTCTGAGAGCTCTAAACTGTGCAGACCTGGCATTGCCACACACTTGCCTCTACTATTATCTCACAGTTCTGGATCCAAAGAGCGTTTCTCTGACAGCCCTGTGGGAGGTTAGCTTCTGAATGTCATTCACTGCTGAATAAAAATATTCTGAAGTAGTTGCGTGTCTTTTTATAGCCTCATGGGTCTGCTGCTTCACCTGTTGTTCAAATCAGTGTTTCTCCATGGCACGAGGTATGTAGTAATACATTTCTTTTCTGAAATAGGATATGTTTTGAGCTATTAAATAAAATGTGGTAACGGAAGGTAGGGAGAGAAGTCACCTAAAGTCAACGGTATATTGCTATTCATAAAATTAATACCTCTGTAAATCTGAGAAACATAACTAGGGTTGGACTGGCTGCCAAGGACCTCATAATAGCAATTTCATTAGTGTTGCCTAGTGTAGCTAGACTGACATGTCTGGAATGACAGAAGTCCTTATTTGGAGAGTACATATTATATCCATGTATTCTTCATTCAAGAAAATTAGAATCAATCATGGACTTACGACTTTTTCAGGAGATGTGTCACTGGTTTGGCGTTATTTTATTTTTAAATTACAATATAATGTACCAAAACTAGTGACCCACTGCAGTAGTACACTATGGTACGCATATTCTCCCAAAATAATATGATATGTATGTTACTCTGGAGACAAGTAAAATAAAAGTGAGAATAGATGCAGAAGTAGGTTGAGTGACTTGCTGAGGTCTAGGTAGGAGATAATAGGTTTAATGGAGCTATGCTAATTTTTATCACCTGAAAATCTGGTCTAAGATGTTTAGAGATTTTTAATTTTTTTCAACTTAACATCATATGTTACTTAGATATTTTAAAAACTACAGACATTCATACCTACATTCAAGCAAATGACTTGAATGACTTAATTAAGTTTCATTCTATGTTTTTTTCTTTTAGAATCTTTCTAATAAAGATGTGAATGCTACTTCTTTTCCAAATCCTCTCTATGGTGAGGCAGCAGAAGACCTGGAGAAACTATGCCGTTTCATGAAAACAGACATAAAACAGGATTAATATTGCAATTAATATTGTTATTCTTTGCCTGAAGATTTTTTCTAAACTCTGAAAATATGTCATGATATTGTCGCATTTGCAAAATGAATGAACATGGAATAACTCTTCTAGTAGAATAAGTGTGCACAGAATGTAACATTGCATTAAAAATGGAATCTCTACACAAATTAAAAAAATACATAGTCTGTCGTATTTTTGTTGGCACAGAAATAAATTGATAGCTATAACTGTGAATTCATTTTATATTTTTACAATTCAAATTCCAGTATGCTAGTAAAAATGTTTAATCAAATCCAGATTCCAAAGGTCCTGGAATTCTAATTTTATGTCTATTATTTAAGAAATGATGACTCAATTTTTTCCTGTAATTTTGCATTAGAAAAGGTTTTTGAATGGTTGTTTTAGTGTTCCAAGGGGCAGAAGCAAAAGCAAAGTCATTGCATTACTAGAAACATACCAAGTTTAATCAAAGATGGTCATGGTTATCTAAGCTGATTTGAATATCAGCTCAGGACGTATTCAGCAATGTGACATACCAGTATGTATTCTTGTTTTTAAAAATATAATCATTATTAATCTCGAAAAATATATCCAACCGAAGTCCCTGTTGGTCAACTCTGCAGTGCTTGCCACAGAGCTACTGACGTATTTGGCTTGGAAATGGTATTTCTGCTGAATAAGTTGACCTCCCACACAGCCACAACTTCTATCCTCCCAAGGCTACGTGAGAAGGATATTGGGGGGAATTCTGGATTGCTTTCTGATGTTGAATATCATCTTGTGTGATCCAAGGCATAACTTGTAATTATGTTCAAAGTTTAAATAACCTGACAATATGTCATCTTCCATAATTCCTGCTTGAATTATATGATGATCCTTTTTAACCTGAAGGCCTCAGTAGACTTGCTGTACTTGTGTTTTCTTCCCTGACTGTATTTTCCCAGCCTAATTAATTTTAAACTCATTGGCAAGTTTTAAGGATACTGAATTCCTTCAAATTTCATAAAAACGGACATCTGGGTAGCAGACTATCTCTGTTAATGCCTTCACTCAGGGAAAGTTGAAAAACTTGACGTTTATTAAACTTTGGAGACGCCACACAAAAGAACATTGAAACCTGGCTTAATTCCGTTATGCAAGGGACTGCTTGGATTCTCTTGGTTTCATTTTTTCTTAATAGCGTAACAGTAGTCCATAGTTCCGTATTTAAGATCACAGAACCACTTTTTGACTTAGGTTTCCTTGTCTGACTGGCATGTCATTTCACGGGTAGCAGAAGTAGCATGGCATGATTACTACAGATGTTTATCCAACCTCCTCTAGACATCTCTGTGGCATAAGTGCCGTTCTTCCCTGCACTGTAATACCCTATGTTTCTCCTTCTCCTCTCTTCTGTAGTCCTCTGTATTCCTCAGCTCTTCCCAAAACTCTGTAGTCCACCCACAAACGTTGTCTCTTGCGTTTGTTTCCCTCCATACAAATCAAAAAAGAAGCATTAATTGTTGCATCTGGCTCAGAGCAATATGTGCGCTGCCCATTCACTGACTGGCCAGTTGGAAGGTCAGTTTAAAAACCTCACACTGCAACTTCTCTTCCTTTGTGACCCAAATTTGTACTGCTATCACCTACTTGGCAGCTGGTTTTAATCAAGCTAGTCAGAGCTTTGTGTCTCTGATACACCTGCCTTGATGCCAAGTTTAGTTGAAAGTGATCAAGTGTTAATCATGGAAGTTTTAATAAGGAACTATGACAACATGATCACATATCTTTTTACTTATGAAACAAGATTAGTAATAAGTATAGAATTTGATTACTGTATTAAACTTGTTAAGTTGATGATATACAGAAAATAGGCTTGATCCAGCAAAGTGCCAAGTGCCTTCAGCTCCTGAACTCCCTGGTATATTGATTAAAACTGTGTGAGATGATTGCTCTCAATGTTATAAATATTCCTACAAAATCAAGATCATCTAGTCAAATTTTCATTTATTCTGCAAGAGACTGACATTGCTTTCAGAATTTTATTAAACACCAAAAGACTCATTATGCTCTAGTCCTTAATTCTCCAAACATGGTATCACACTCTGAGTTTCCGTAAAAAAATTATAATGATGATAAGGAAAGAACCAGCATCAGTAGAATTTTATCAGGTTCTCCCTTTTGAAACAAAATATATTTATTTTAGTATGAATGGTACTCATATTTTAATGTCCTAAGTAGAGGCATGTCATTATAAAGAACTATTGTAAGAACTCAAAGAATATCATATTTCTCATCAATAGCAATTTCCTGAGAGAACTCTCACTCTTCTGGATTACCTCAAAGGCAAGGTAGGACTTTTACCTAAATCATTTTCAGGTTTTTCATTTATAGAATATTTTAAAAGAAAGTGTTACAATTCAGGCTTTTCTTTTCATCTTCCTAAACTTCAATCATTTTTCACTATTCTTATTTCACCAAGAACAAAAGATTCATTTATATCTTCTATATGATAACTTTCTCATGCCTGACAGCTGACAAGCAACAGCCCCAGACTGGTGTGATTAAATTATAGATAGAAATTATACTTTTTAATATCATTTTTGGAAACTTTTCAGGACTTTGAACCAAAGCAGGAAAATTCTTATTTTCATTCATGCTTGCCATAGCTTTACTTCTGAAATCTAAAGAAAATGCAAGGAAAAATAAATTGTTAAATCTTCATATGTAAGGGTTTTTTCTTCTCCACTTAATAATAGCCCTTGACTAAATACTCTCTGCTATTGTCAGAAATTCTAAGTAGTAGTTTCCAATCGAGGCCTGTTTTCTGGGAAGAAATTAAAAGACAGCTGCTCTATCCAGATGATGAATGTTGTACTTAGTCTAGCTTAAACATGCTTGTACATTAATGATCTAGGGTAACAGCAGAAATAAATTGCAACACAAAACTTTTAACAAAGCCTAAAGCCGCCTGCAGCATGATTGATCACTTTTCTTACAGTTGTTTCAGCACCTAAAAATCTCACAGTCATAAAGAATACCATCCTATGCTTTTGGCTAATTTGCTTTTCAAATCAAAACATAGTTATGATACCTACTAACAACCACATTTCACACACAGATAGCCAGATCCTGGTCTTGAGAGTCCTAGCAAACAAACTTCTTTTAAGTACAAAAATAACAGTTCTATCATAGCTGTGGCAGATTGCTGTAAGCCAGGGAAAATACACTTAGAAAGGGTCGTGGTATTCTCAGTCTGCTCTAGCGCTTGCCTAAGCACCTGCCCTTGGCATTGTTCTGGGATTTTGGGGGAGGTGGACAAGGCTGAAGGATCTTACGTCCTCTTTCCTTTAGGCAGTAAAAAAGTGTAAGTTTAAACATGCAGCTGTGTACCCTCCCCCTCCTCCTCAACACTGAGAAACATTGTCCTTGCTTAGAGCTTTTGAGCTCTTTAGTGACACTACTGCAGCTGTGCCAGTGCTTTTTACTGGTGCCCCCATTTCTCCATATATTCCGGCACCTGATGGTCATTACAATTGAGCTTCCCACTGAGGTGGTCCAGGTGCATTTTCTCAGCCAGGCCCTGTTTCATCAGCAAGAGCCTGACTGATGTGAAGATCATCTAAGTGATCAGCCATCTGGCCTAATTTTGACATTATTCTTGTTTTGAGCAGGAAGATGGATTAGATGACATCCAGAGGCCCTTTCCAACTTATTTTTTTCTATAATTCTTTGATTCCATAGTGTTGGTGGCACCCAAGTCCTCCTTGACAATGGTGTCCTCATTCAGGTCTGTCTTCAACTTCTGCCATGCAGACATGTATTTCCTGAGATCTTTCTGAAGCCAAGGGTATCCCAGGCTCCCCCTTATACTTTCTTGCTCAGTTGTGACAGAGGCTCAGGCACAGCTTTTAGTTTTGTCATGACCCATCTCTGTAGTTGACATAGTTGGAGACAAGTTAGTGAGCTAGGTAGAGCTTTGATCTGATCTGCTACAGCTTAATTGGACTTATTGCCATATATGCAATACCAGAACCAGTGAAGACATGCCCAGTACTAGCAGCCACCAAGTTCCAAGACAGCAAGGGTTCAGCTGATCTCATCTGAAGGTAGATGTCTGTCTTAGAGAGCAATAAATGGAACACTAGAAGCTCCTAATTCCTTCTGTAGACTGTAAAGGCTGTCTAGACATGATATTTGCAGTGGAGATGTCTAGATTGTCTTACTCCACTAACTACAAATTTAGTTAATGTATGTCTATATTATGGAGATTCTCATCCTTCTTGTATGGAAGGATTCTTGTATGGAATCCTCCTTACAAGTGCACACATAAATACTCTCTTATACCCAAACATTGCCCAGACCTCTCACTGTTTGTACAAATCAGACAAAAAGAGTGTAGCACATACGTACAACATGCGGTAATGCAGCTGTTGAAACCTGGCACGTTCTGTGTTTTATTTTCAGTTTGTGTCGGGGTGGAAAGGGAGGAATAAGGGGGAAGAATTCATATATAAGTTAACAAAAATGGAAATTCATAAATACATATATAGAAAAATCCACTGAGGGGTGTATTGCTCCATGTAGATTACAGTATGTGAGAAGTCAGGCACTTGGGATAGTTAAAAATATGCAAAAGGATCCTTCTCTACTAAGTAGCTAAAAGCAACCATTTATTTTCCAGGGTACCAGTCAGTTCCTAAGACCTGTGAATAAGAAATTCTTCTCCACCGTGTGAGCATGAAGAAGGACAAAAGGAAGCAAAGGGAGGACAGACAATGCCAAAGATGTATAATATCATATCAACCTTCCTACACTGTTACCACTTCATCACCTGTAGCTCTTATATAGTGGCTTCTTTTAAGTTGAAAGCAGGTATGCAGCTGACTGTAAAGGTGGCTATAATGTAGAGTAGTCCCCTTAGCTGCCATGCTCCTGCAGCAGCCAGCCACAGGTCTGTAAAAATGCCACGCAAGTTAGTGTTCATATTTGGAATTTAAATCACCGTCTACATATATATATACATATATACACACACACACACATATATATACATATATATAAACACCCTTAAAGGACATATTCCATGCTGGAAAAAATAGGTGCGCTTTTCAACAGGATAGTCAATATGTGACAATTAAGACACCATAAAACTACAGCGTAG